GTTACTGGGAAACTGTGTGAGTTAGTCGCATGAGACCTTTCGCTGTTATGTAAGCAGGGAGCCTAGCGCATCCTGAGACTGGTCCTTGCTGTAAGCTTTTATCAAGCTACCCCTTAGTCTAGCTGACCCCACAGCTTACCCCCGAGTGGCGCTTGAAATACCCGAGTCAGATAGACAGCTACAATCCTGGAGCTCAGCCATTGGATTTTAGTGACAGCTCAGGCCAGCTGAGTGCTTCGGATTTCACTTCTGGCTGACCGCTCATCAAAAGCTCCACCTCTTCTTGTCCCACAATACGGTAGAGGGATGTGGGGGCGTGGTTTCGCGCAGCGGGTGGCGGCCATTACATGCCACCTATGGTGTGCGGACAATGCAGTGGTCAGCGCCGATGTCCCGTTGTCTTCCTTGATCGCTCGCTTATCGCTTTATCCATGCTTCTCAGCGTTCCTTGGGAAACCAGTAACTGCCTCGCGCTATCGTTTATTCATCCATTAATAAACTCTCATTCTCAACATTTCATTAGCTTTCTCTTCATCCTGGACCAAAGCCAAGGGTACGGTAGACTGTATGCAGTAAAATTTGGGGTTACCTCACATTTTACTCGTTCTGACCCTGGCTGGGGCCATTGTTTCCCTACAAAATCCTTCAGAAACGGCATTTCAGAGGTGCATTCCTCTAAGGCAAATTTCTCTGGGCACCGGTCTTTAGGTCCATGTCCTTCTTTCAGGATCGGCATTCAAGCCATTTGGAACCCGTCAGTTTCACCTGAGTAAGCATAGGGGATTTTGATTTCAATACCCCCCCCCTGAGGCTTAATGGGTTCCCACTCAGCAGTCCTTCTCATTTGTTTCCTTCTTTAATTTGTCTATTTCAAGTTATTTATTGGATTTGTTTGTTTACTTGTTTACTCAAGCCGGGCTCAAAGGGCTATCCTTCTACAAATTTCTTTAGATTCTTCAGGATCCGAATTCCAGCATATAAAATGACAAAAGATCTCTCATTTGGCATCTGGCAACAGTCCAATTTCTCTGATTATCTAATTATTTCCATAGCTATCGATTGATTTCAATGGCTCTCACTTAGTTCTTTCTGCTAACCGTTTTCATTTCGTCTCTAGTCGTTACAACGTTTTGTTCCAGGCGATTTAATGACGTCACATGCCGAGACATTTTACGATCAGCTGTGCCAACCGTCGTCTTCATCGCAGGCGCAGGTAATTGTCATCTTCCGCCATTGAATCCCCTGCCCCTGTCCCCCCCGGGCAAGTTTGGCTCTACATTCACTGCAGAGGGTTGATCGCGGCACAGGTTCTTTCTATCGCCGAAAACGAGTGTCATCGCCAGACATCGGGCACACATCGATTGCGCAACCGACCGAATCTTGTTCCTGTGCCTTGCCGATCGACCGTGGCTTGTCTTTGGCTTTACACGAAGTGCTAATCGTCAGAGGCATAAGGCACGATAATTCGGTACCGGCTTATAAATAGAAAAGGAGCACTATGTAGTGGAGAAACGACGGAAAAGCGAAGTAAAAGCCGTAAGAAGTCTTTGTTCTGCACGGCACTGGACGAGTATTTTTGGGCGAGTTTTCCGTTGATCGGGCTAGCAACCACTTTGATACATATGGCTATACGTACGCATCCATATATCTATGTAAGGACGCTTCATATCAATT